ATAGAAAACTTTGAATCAATCTGACTGGATGATCTGGTTGATCTGGATCTATAAAGGGACCTGAGATGACATGATGTGAATCTATAGAAATGAACTGAATAGAACTGAATGAATTACTGATATTTGAAAAAAAAAACATTTTTCTTCTCTAAATTTCCATTTCAAACAAAATGACTTTCGTCAAATCTAGAATAAACATTCTGGGTGTCTAGAAATTAATTATAGATCTCTGTATTCCTATTGTTAGTGGTCAGCATTTGTATTTTAACTATGAAGAAATGTTTTTCAGATGTTATAAATATTCAGTCAAGCTGTTAAATATCAGAACAGCCACTTAAAAAGTGGAAACATTTCTAGATCTATAAACTTCATTCTTACCGGAATAATTTAGTATTTTACTTTCTGAAATTCAGTTTCTGCTTCTAAAAAGTAATTTAGAAAATATCCCAGTTCAGCCTAGAGTATATCCCAGTTCAGCCTAACCCTAACCCTAACCCTTGCTAATCCTAACCCGTGTATAGATCCATATTATGAGATTTTAATCATGAAGAATCTTATAATATGGATCTATACACGGAACAACAGAGAGTGCTTTTATTAAATGTCATAACGGCCTGCCATAGACCCAGCAGCTCTCTCTCTCTCCTTCGCAGCAGTTTGTCTTTTAAACGCTTCCTCCAATATTTCCATTTCTGCATTAAACCTCCAGTTCCTGTGGGGTGAGATCAGCACTTCCTGTTTCCTGTTGTCATGGTGACCTGTGGAATCAGGGCTCTAAGCTAACTCACAGCAGCTTTAATGAAACCCTAAACTCAAAGGATAAAGTCAGAGTTTAGGATTAGATCGATGGAGGAAGGTTCCCGGGTCGAATCGGGCCGCCGGGTAACGGAACCCGCAGGAAGCGGACGCCATATTTAATCCTAGTCTGAGTTTGCTGAGTCTGGGAACAGACTGACCTCAGCTGCGTTACGCTTCTGTTTGCAGCCACCATGGGAGCCATCTTTGGAATGGCGACCTGTCTCAGCGCTCAGGCCCGCGAGGCTCCAGACGACCCGCTGAATTACTTCATGGGAGGCTGCGCCTCGGGAATCTTCCTGGGAGCCCGCAGTGAGTATGAACTGGAAGCAGCCGTCCCAGTATAGCTACTGGAAGAGCATCAGGCTAACTGTGCTGGTTTCTCTGCAGCCCACAGCGCCATGACTGGTACCACAGCCTGCCTGGGTCTGGGAACGCTGGCCTTTTTCACTAAAGTTGGCAAAATGGAAGGATGGAGGATAGCTGGACCTCCTAAGCTGTAGGAGGAGGAGGATAGCTGGACCTCCTAAGCTGTAGGAGGCGCTGTACAAAGACTTGATCTAATAAATAAACTGCTGGTTAAAGTGACGTCTGACTGGTTTTTCACTGAAGGAGATCAGATGAGCGTAGAGAAGAGAAATCATTTTATTAATCAGAGCAGCAGTGAGATCCGCCGCTCTGGACCGCCGCCGCCCCGCATCAGAACCAGTCCTCCCAGTGAGTCCAGTCATTTGATGTTGCGTAGAATCCGCCGGGCGTGGCCCGTTTTCATGGCCGCCAGGGCCGCCTCCAGACTGGAGATGAGGTGCAGCAGCGTGCTGGGGTCCGTCTGCAGGTCCAGGCAGCGGAGGGTCCCGCCCCCATCAGAACCCGACAAAAGGAGGCGCATGGTGACCATGGCAACCATCTGCTGACGGAGCGAGCGACTCGCCAACTGACAGGAGATCAGAGACAGGTCATCAAAACGCAGAACAGGAAAACGGTCCGCTCAGGAGGAGGAGGGAGGAGACGGGAGGAGGGGGAGGAGAGAGGAGGAGGGGGAGGAGAGAGGAGGAGGAGAGAGGAGACAGGAGGAGGGAGGGACAGAAGGAGGGGGGGAGACAGGAGGAGGAGGAGGGAGGAGGAGAGAGGAGGAGGGAAGAGACAGGAGGAGGGAGGAGGAGACAAGACGAGGAGGAGGAGGGGGGAGCGACAGGAGGAGGAGGCGATAGAGGATCACCTCTCTGGCCGCCATGGGAACCAGAGACGCTCCACATGAGGACTAACCAGACGCTCTGGATGGCTGATAGCTGCTGGTAGAACAGGGTTAAAGTGAAGCCACCGGCGGCCATATTGGTACTCCCTACTTAGACCTCTGGCAATGTAAACAATCAATGCTCTGCAGCATCAAACAACCAGGATGTTCTCATCTTCAGGGACTGAAGACTTAAAGATAAATTCATCACATGACCAGACTGGCTGTTTCACAGCATCAGTAGATTAACTTAGAATAAATAAATAGACCAATCACACTGCAGAGTCTTTATGACGTCTATAAATGGTGAATCTATCCCCCCCCCAGTCCTCAGCAGTCCCCTCCCTGGACCTTTAGCAGAATATCAGTCTGTCCCTGATGGTTTTCCTGGAGAGAAGTGGCTTCTTTGCTGCCCTCCTTCAGACCAGGCCTTGCTCCAAGAGTCTCCGCCTCACAGTGCAGATGCACTCACACCTGCCTGCTGCCATTCCTGAGCAAGCTCTGCACCGCTGGCAGCCCCATCCCGCAGCTGGAACTCTTTTCAGAGACGGTCCTGGCGCTCGCTGGTCTTTCTTGGCGCCCTGGAGCCTTTTTGGCAGCAATGGAACCTCTCTCCTTGAAGTTCTTGATGATGCCATAGATTGCAGACTGAGGTGCAATCTCTCTAACTGCCATTCTCTTTCCTGTTCGGCCATCTTTGTGCAGTGCAATGATGACTGCAGGTGTTTCTAACCATGGTTCACAGCAGAGAACCGATGATACCAAGCAGCAGCCTCTTTCTAAAGTGTCCAGTGGCGTCATTCTGACTGAATCCTGACAGATTGATCTGCAGCCCTGTCCTCATCACCACCCCCACCTGAGTTAATGGACCAATCACTGAAACCATGGTAGCTGCTCCTTTAAGGCAGGGCTGCAATGATGCTGAAATGTGTTTTCAGAGATAAAGTTCATTTTCTAGGCAAATATTGCCTTTGCAATTAATTAATACGCTGATCACCCTTTAGAACATTCTGGAGGATATGCAGATTACTGTTATAAAAACTGAAGCAGACTTTGGAAATATTAACATTTGGATCATTCTCAGAACGTTTGGCCATGACTGTACTTTATGCTGTTTCTGTTCATCAGCCTTTAAAAATTCAGTTACTTTTTCCATCAATATAACGTCTTCCTGCAGACAGATGCTGCACAGGGAGGCATTTTACTGCGTGGCATGGGGAGTACCAAGATGGCGGCCGGTGGCTTCACTTTTTTCTGGCTATCAGCAGAAGAAAGTGATTATTAGCAAAGTCACACAGACACTAACCTGAACGTCCAGCCTCCACTCTAGGTTGTGGTAGGCTGGCTGACTGCAGCGCAGATGGCTTAGCATGCTGCGGATCTGGTCTTTGTGCTGCACGTAGAGCTGGAACATATAGATTAGAGAAGCTCCTCAGCTATCTGATGCAGATATCATTCACAGCAATGTTTCTCCACAAGTTTCAAATGAAAACTTTACCTGCAACAGGCTCTGGTTGAGCTGGTCAGTGAATCCAAGCGATAAGACCGAGTCCATAAAATCCACCTCAGAGATCTGGACGTACAGAGAGAGAGAAGGTCAGACAGGACGACGCAGAGCAGATCTATCTGCCATTAGCTGCTGGTCGGTCATGTAGGCCCAGTTCACAGCACAGACTGCCTGAAGGCTGCAGACTGTGCCGGGGGGGGCGACATCAAGGCTTCAAATGTTCCTTTTTGATAAAGCTTCTAGTTAGAGTGGCTCAGGTTATCCTGATCTATCTCTATAG